CTTTTCATAAACAATATATATAGCTCTCTTATCACTGAGGCTACAGTTTTCGCCTTTAGGCAGCTCTTAGTATAAGCTATATTTTAAGGCAATTATAAAAGCTACCCCTGGGGGAAGCTTTTATTTAATTAGGGGCAGCTTACTATATTTTAAGCTATTTTTTTTAACTTAGCTGTAGGCCTTTTGTTTAGAAAAGGCCTTACGATCGACTGTACCGGTATAGACATTGCTTTTTCTCCCACGCCGCCAGAAGACACGTAGAATATTCACCTTAAGAATCTTACTCTTCTTAATGCTGACCCTGAGATTAGAGGCTGGCCTTGGCTCGTTGAGGTAATACGAGATGCTTTTCAGATTATGTCTTTTAGAATGGAGAACTGTATAGGGAAGGATAACAGAGACCTGCTAAAGCGCTGAGGATAGAGATGCTTCTTTATAATCCAAATAGACAACTTTTTGAAGCTACTAATTTCGAAGATTTTAACCATATACCAAAGCTTTTAAGAAAGAGAGCCAGCGAAAATATATGGCAAACTGCTTAAAAATATAAATTTACCACCTTTACAGCCTAGCCACTTATATTTATCCTTCATAACTCCAGCCTAATGCTCGAGCTCCTATTGCGTCAAATAACGACCTGTTCTTTCCCTCTGCCCTAACCGCATCCACAATCTCCCTCCTACCATCCGATCGCAGTGCCCGCTCTTCTGTCATAAGAGGAACAACAACATCCCGGATTAGTATGCAAATCCCTTTCACCACTTCGCTTTTAATTTCCTCCCTCCCTTGCCTTTCCACTAGCAAAACACTTCCAATCGCTGGGCTATTTATCCAGTTACGTATGCCCTCCCATTTCCCATCTCTCGCCGTAGCCCGGGGTAAAAGGAGTCGCGCCATCTCATTCTCGAGCCCGGTCTCGTCCTTACCACCGCGGTCATATACTTTCATAACCCACTCGAACCCCAGCACCCCGGGTATATCCAGTGGATCATCGCCTTCAAGTCGAAAAAGCGGATGCGCCCGTGGAACCGCAACCGACATCATATCACCCAAGCCCCGCGCCACTCGATCATGCCTGCAGTTGATCCGCCACCCCGTCGTCTTGCCGGCCCTGCTTTCTGCTATCACTCGCTGTGCGAGCATTGTCTCCGCTCCAATCCCGTCTATCATGCTGCCATTAGTCTCGATGTAATAGCCCAAAAAGTCGATGGCGTCTCGGTAGGCCGTTAGCGTCACGTCTTTTATACGCCGCGGATCAAAAGCACTGCCTTCCTTCACAACAATAACCATCGGCCCTTTAAAGATTGTCTCCCCCCACGTGTCCCCAATGAGTGTCGGCTGCGTACCATGCACCGTCTGGTTGGTCGTGAGATTGGTGACGGGAACGTCCGGATCCAGGTACCAGATGTTAATGGTATCTGCGTTCTCCTTTCTCCCGCGAAGCCTATTGCCACGAACGAAGTGCAGCCCACGTCCGATGTAGCCCCGAGTCCCTGGAACGTTAAGAAGCCGGTCGAGGTCGGGATGGAGATATCCCTCCTGCTCGTATTCATCTGCCTTTGAACCAACCCACACAAGTCTCGGTTTCGTTTCGCTCATCGGGAAATATATGGCAAGGTAGTGATTAGGCGACGGACGGGCTGCAAATCCATCAGCCGAAACCTTCTTAAAGCTTCCGCATAAAAGTCGATGTGTCCGCCAATCAGTCTGCTGGCACTCAATAGAGCAATACGCAGCTGAGCGGCACTTTATACAAAGCCGTGTGTCTAACGAGCCGCATATTGTACATGGCATATCGAGATCCATAGTGATTGGGGTAAGTAGTATGTGTATGAATATGTTAGAATTATGGGAAAGGTTGGCTTTATATAGTAGTAGACTATAAGAGCGGTGTGGTAATAAGACTTCCAGGTCTACATCTGTTTTAGTTGCTGATAGAAAGGCCAATAGCTGTTTATGATGGGTTGGCAGTGGGGGTCTGGAATTGGATAAGCTTACGGTTTAAAAGCCCAATCATCACATGCCTTGATTTTATACATCTAGTTATCCTGCTTTTTCTCACTGAATGAGAGATGAGCACCTATCTACCCAATCCCGACTATTGCTCTTAAAGACAAACCATATAAAACCCTGTGCATCCTTCATTTGATCTAAAAGCTCTTTACGTAGCTTATATAAATCTTCTGCTGGTCGCAGCTTAGACTCGCTGATTCGCGGCGTCGGCCGCTTACCCTGCACCTCAATCTATCCGAGAGCATGCAATATCCGGTTGTTCACTCCCTTGTGCTCTATAATAAAACTCAGCAATTTCCTTTTCTCGTTTTTTTTTACTGCTGTATTCTCACTTACCTATCTTCTTAGCCATGTCACTCACCCGATAACCCCTCTTATCGTTGGTGCTCTCCCACGGGAATGCGCTCGGCCGCAAAAACCAGAGCATTTTAGTAACCATGTTCGCCGCCAACAACGATGCCTCTTTCCTTGAACCGACACTAAAAGCGCTTGCATTGATCTTTACATCCGGTGTCTCTGTTGATGCTGCCACTGTTAGCACCAATATCAGCATCACATCGCAGAGCGGGTCCCCAAGGCAGCTCTCGAGACAGCAGTACGCTGTGGCATAATGGTCCAGCACTTTCCGATCTTCGTTATACCGCCGAACTTCATTGAATCCCGCCTGTACAGGGTCAGGAACTCGCTCAAACGGTATCTTGCATCCAAAGTCGATCCGCTGCCTCTTGACCCTCTTGGGCCCTGATAGATAGCTAGTTGTTAATATAGAATTAAGATTGCAATACGCTCTGCACTGCTTACTATTTGGTGACATTGTTTACTATTGCTTACATTACCTATTAGGTTTCTTAACCGCTCCGCTAATATAAACCCAGAATTATTTACTAGGTTTATCCCTTAGGAATTTACCTTATATTAATTATTTAGTATATAGTTTATTATATGTTAATAAATCTTATTTAGACGGTTACTAGACTTATGGATAATAAAAATAAAATAGTTAGAGATAACTACTAAGATGCTATGGATAAGTCTATTAAATAAGAACTTAAGCAGTATAAATAATAAGAATAAAGTGCTAGAGCTTATATGGAAAATATAGAATGTATGATTTAGGACTTACATACATAACACCTTAATAACTAATAAATTATCGCAAACCTATAATAACAGTAATAAACTAATAAAGGTCTTATTAACTAATATACCTAAATTATAAATAGCTTATAATAGGACTTATAATAGTAAATTAATAACCCGCTAGTGGTTGCATCCGCTATAGCGCCTGCTGTGGCACTAGCTATAGCACTAGGAATACCTACAATGAATGGTAAGGGTCTGATCAACTCTAGTAGAGTTGATTTATTTAACCCCTGTATGGCCCACTGCATAAGCGCGGACATACAGTGGGTCAGCAAAAGTCAAGACAACCCCACAGTATATACACCGAAATACAGCAATTATAAATAAAAAATAAGCACTATTTATAAGTAAAGAATAGAAAATAAATATGTATTATAATAATTCTATATGATAAAATTTATAAAGTCTCTTTTAATTTATAATTATATATAGTTTATTATTATAAATATTAGCTTAAAATGTGTAGTTTATGTGTATTATTGTCACGACCCAACAACTTATGGTCGCGACAATGGGCCTACAGGGTAGATGGACCCGGATTAACTTAGGACCGGACAGCCAATCAAAGCCGGATCGAGAATCAACTTCTCGATCCATCACAAGATCGATAAAACAAACATCGATCCTCAAACAGATCGAGGAACATTCTCTCGATCCCGTCCAGACCAACTGGATATATAAGTTCACTTCTCTACGCTCATTTAGATAACTTAGATAGCCAGTTGTTAACACAGAATCAAGATTGCAACACGCTCTGCACTGCTTACTATCTGGTGACATTGTTATTACTGTTTACATTGCCCGAAGATCTCCTGATCGCTCCGCCAACATAAACCCAGAACTGAACTCTAGGTTTGTCCCTTGGGAAGCCCTCGTATTACTAACTATCTAGCGTACGGTTCGTCACGATTATTATATACACTGTCAATAGTAGGGCTATAGTGGACTTATAGTAGAAAATACAGTGCTAATGCTTTAGTAAATTTTACACTCTTCATATAAGATATATAGAAGAGTGTTTTGACGAGGGCTTTGCAGCCTGCCTTCTGCCGCAAAAGGGATTCCGGACTTTTAGTTACGCCGGGCTCCGGCCCGGCGAGATAGGATATAAGGAAGCAAGGTGCTTCTTATTACATAGGAAAAACAACACAAGTTCGTTACGCAAAATGACCCCTAGCTGCGGCCGTGGCCTCGTTCCAACGGGAGCGAGGCTCGACCAGCTAGATCAAATGGTTCCGTGACCTGTTCTCGCTGTGTGGTCCAAATAGCGGTATGACAAGCAGGGTTTTCGATATTGTGTTTATGTGTGTATAAGCGTGTTCAGAGGTATGTTCCCGACTTGTCAACAAAGTGTAAAGGGGTATAAATTTTCTTAGGCATTAGGTGGTGCACTGTTAGGCTCATCGTCACTTTTGCGTCCCCACTGTAGGTTAGCGGAAATAATTCAGAAATATTATTTCTCTCTATCTACTTATTTACCTACTGCTCTACTGAACATCCCTACCAACCTACGCAATTCATACATAAGAAAACCACAACATGGCTACAACTCCCAATCCACAGCCACGATAACCATCCGCAACGCACACACAAAAAAAAAAAAAATACCCTAAAGCTATGCTATGGCTAATTACGACTAATTTCAAGCTGTAAATATATTAATTTCCCAACTTGCAGATTGTGATCCGGCGTCATGAAGCGTTGTAGTTTATCAAAATCAAATAAATAAAGCGAGCTTCGGAAATTGCTACCAAATGCTGCTTGGGCGTAACGGAGGAGACGAGTGCTTTGGGTAAGACCTCTGGATAAAATGTGTATCTAATCAAAGTAGCCATCTATTATGTGACTGCATACCAATTCGGCTTTAAGAATGCCGATTTCGCCATCAGAATGTCGTCCTCAATCTGGTATCTGTCCGAAGTCAGATGTCGCACCGCCCTCTTGCCAGACGACTCCCGGCTCCATGCCCGCTTGTTGGGCACTAGTTGAGCCAGCGCACGTCGAGACGGCTGCACAAGCAATGATCTTTCGAAGTCGATCATCATTACACGATTTGTTTCAGGGTTATATAACATATTGGCTCCTCGTACGTCCTTGTGGACCACACCTTTTCGATGTATCGATTCCAACGTCCGCAGTGCGCCATCCACAAGTCTCTTGCTCATATCACTGGCATTTCCACTGTTATTTAGTTTGTAACCGCCCCATGAGAGGAACGTCAGATGCACTATGTAGACCCGGTGGTCATAATAGTAAATTTTGTTCATAGATTGGAGGTCAACCGCGCCCAAAAAAACAGGAACGCTGATCCCTTGCACGGCTTTGAGACGCTTGTAAACGGCGGCTTCATGCTCAAGATCCTTGATAAAAGCCCGGACAGTCCCTTTACCAATGAAAGTATAGCCATAAGCCAGCAAAGTGACCTGGAATAGCGCGCCTCGCGAACCGCCTTCCCCAAGGGGTGTCAGCCCTTTGTCTAGAGACTCTTCAAGCTGTTCCCTCAGAAGTTGGAGCCACTTGCTATGTCTGACAGGATGACGGGAGATTGAAGCACGACGGGCATGACCTATTTGTTTGTTGTGAAGCTTTACGTTGGGACAACACGTGTCGAGGAAGCCCCCTTGAACCAATCCGACTAAACACTTCTGTGTACAGTATTGCGTGGTATGCTGAGAACCTCCTTTTGTCGCGGCCCCTCGCTGTCGAGCCTGGATCCTCTGGCTTCGTCGGGTTCTCTGCTCTCCTTTCCCGGCTCGCCGTTCGGCAGGACTGGGTGTGTCTGGGAGATTTTGCCTTGATTCGTCATCTGAAGACTCTGGGGAATTCCGTCTTGTCGCCTGCTTGTCGGGCTGGTCTTTATCAGCAGCAGGCCGTCGGTCATGACGAAATGGATATGGCGACCGATCAATGCCCTCGTACGTGGTAGGCTCATAGTCCGAAGAGTCACTGGGGGCGGACCGTTCGTTGGCAGGAATGGAGCGCAGCGTGCTCTCAAAGTCTTCCGCCCAGGTCTTCAGTCTATGAATCGCGAGGCGGCGCTCCTCCTGGCCGTGTTCCCGCCTTTGGCCGGGTTGTCCCAAAGCGACGAGGGTGAAGGCCAGATACTGGCCGACAGCAGTACAAGAGTAGAAGTGGTCCGGATGCGCGGAGACCTCTGGCCCAGGTTCGGCAAGATGATAGTAGAGTGTCTGCGGATCCTCCCAATCAATCTTGAGGAACACGATCGTCTCGCCCGTTGTCAGTAGCCCGTAGTCAAGTCCGCCCTCGATCATGTAATGGTATGTTTGTGAAATGGCGGCGGCAGTTAGTCTTTCCGCGTGGTATTGGAAACGGCCTTCCGGATCCGCCGAAGTGGGGATCGTTTTGCGTTTGACAACTTCTTCGTACACATTCATGGGTCGCAGACCAACACGAAGATGTGGCGCTGTCAATTTATGAGGTGCCTTGTATTCGCAAACGTAGATCATGCTACGTCTTGTTGACTGGCCATCCTCCGATCGGTAAACACATATTTGGTCCGGGCGGAGCTGATTAGCAAGACGTCTCTGATCGGGCGTTCTTGGCGGCAATGAATTCTCACGGTCAGCGACTTCTTCGGCTACATCACTTATGGCACTGGGATGATTCTCGAATATAATGCCGTCTCCAATTTCGTAAACGCTTCGGATTTGCTCTACCTCTTTTAGCTGGTGCAGAATGGATCTAACTGGATCCTCCACGCTGTTATGAAGGAAGTATTCCAGGCCCTTCTCATTCGCGATCGGCCGTCGGGAGATTCTCTCTCCAAGGCCGGACAAAAAGCTTCGGGACTCGAAAAGCCGTGTATTAGCGGGAACTGCGCTGTGTAGCACGCCAGAGGCAATTCTCTGTTGCTCTAGGAAGCCGGGCCACGGCTGGAGACTTGTCGGACATAGTTTGTTTCTTGGATTTGTGATGGAGCCTTTTGATGTGAGCGATTTGTCGATTTCGACTTCGAATCTCGAAAATACCAGGCTATGGCAAGCCTCAATATACTCGTCTAAAGTTGTACCACGGGTCTGCTCTTCTGCCGTTTCGGCGCGTTGTCGTTCGCTCTCAGCGCGTTGTCGTTCGCTCTCAGCGCGTTGTCGTTCGCTCTCGGCACGTAGCTCAGCCTCTCTTAAAAGTCTTTCAAGCTCTTCGACCCTCGTTTGCTCGGCCATTGTTGTGAAGGTGTAGACAGAGTTGAAGCCGATATTCGCGACTTCTTTGGTAATGTGATGAGTGGGTCGTTGCTACGGCGACTAAGGCTCCATGTCGACATGCCATACCGGAATGCTCCGACGTAACTCCGTAGCCTATCGGAGGGTCCAATTCGGCTCAGAATCATATGAGGGCTAGCAGAGACAGGGAATCAGAACTAAAAATATGGTAGTCGCTGAACATGACGCCGAATATCTCTTTATTTGCTGTTGTATTCCGTTTGCCTTTACACAAATGATGCCTGGAGTCTCGTGGTAGGGACACCCTAGATGCGACGCCCCCCTCCGTCCTAGCTTTGCATTGGTAATCACCGACGTCATGGAGAAGAAACCCGCGATAAAACGTGGCATCAAACGTGGCATCAATGGGCGCAAATGGAGCCATCTGGCATAAGCGCTCCTGTAGATGCCGATTGCACCCTGATTTCCACATCAGAGTTTGCGGCTCCGCGTATTGGCCATATTGAGGTGGGAGGTTCAGCCACGCGATCCCTTAATGCCAACATCTAGGACAGCAAGTCCAAATGTGCAGGGTCCAGGGACCCCAGCACGGCGTGCTCAACGGCTTGTAAGGAATCTTCCACGGTCTCGCACCTCGTCGGCTATTGCCAGGTCGTTCTTGGAATGACCAGGTCTTAGCGCACTTGCTACTATAATTTCGAGGCAGTTCCTGTACGGACGGATCCAATATCACTTCATTTGCTGTCGGAGAAATGATTCTGTCGTACAAGTCTTCTTGTCGTTCCTGTGATAGAGCATTCTTGATACCATTTAATCCAGAGCAACGTGCGGCGTTAGGGAAAAAGATGAAAGCGGAAAATTGTACAGAATGCGTGTTGAACGTACCGAGGAAAATGTGCCTTGTCTTCGCTAGGTCGAGATCGTGCGGCCGAATCACTCGCACGGTCGGCAGTTTGAGGGCCGGCGAAGGTAGAACGCACGAGCAAAACACGTTCGGTGGCAGAATCGTGTGCAGCTCTTTCGCCGCCTGCCATATACTTTTAATATCCCACTGTCTTGCAATGGTGGTTTTTTGTTGACGCGTGCTTTCCGACTCGAGAAAATTAGAGAAGTAGGATGCTAGGACAGAAAGCTCCGCCATTGGCTAAAGAAGTCTTCGGGACGATAAGAGCCGCTTTCGACGAACGCCTCTAATGTAGGTAGAAGCAGACTCTACAGATACAGTACTCTATTACCAACTGAAGCGACTAGCCCTATTCTAGCTTGCTGGTCGACTCGTGGCCTAGAACGAAAGCTCACACCCAATGCGCGCTCAATAAATTGCGATTTACAAACTGCTACACGCACCAATGAATTCAGACACGATCTCCTCCATAATCCGGCGTTGCCGCTTCAATACCACCGAGTACTTCGGGCGATTCATCAGCACGGGATTCATTGCTCCTGGCAGTCCGTAATGGTGTGGAGTTTCGCAGCCGCGCTGGCGATGAAGGTGGTCGTCGCCAGTTTTGAGGGTCATGGATAGAGCAACGGCCGAAACTGGGGCATCCAGACACCACCGTCCTGGTTGGATTCTTACGTTAGGGTTACAGTTCCCATCAAGTCGCGATCCGACTACATACCTCAGCCGATGACATTCACCTTGTTTGAGTCGAAGCTTCTTTCATCTGCAAGAACTACATAGGGCCATCGTCCATGTGGGGTCAAGTATGCTCAAGCATTTACAATAACTCACCTCGATGCGACAATCCGGCCAAACGGGGAGTGTAGTCATGTTACAAATAATGCCGTTCGTCAATAGGCTGTTAAAAATGGTGATCCCCGGAGAGTCTCAAGGAAAGAACACGAAGCTGACGTTTGAGGTAGTAATAAGAGGGAAATAATAAGAGGGAATGCCCAAGCTCAGGCGGAGTGCGCCCGTGTAAAGAGTAAGAATCTAACCTTGCTTCGCTGCCCACCTCAGGTCCTTCAAGGATCATATTTCCTTGGACCCACTGAATCCGACCCAGTCTTGGTGGAACTCTTGAAGCCACGGCCAGAGCTAGTACATTGAGGTGGCATTCTGCGAACGGTCTCTTGCTGACCGCGCACGAGCGGCAAATCCTCTGGATGACAGGTCTCCACCCTCCTTGGCCTAATATACACGTCTGTCATTTCATGCGAAGCTTATTATGGAATGTTTCATTGTCATACCTGCGAACTCTGAACTCCAGACGCATCCGCTTTAGTCGTTTCATGCTGCTTCGGCATCTTTAACAGGAAGGTACTTATTATATTTGCGTTAACTTGAAGAAAAGAGGAAGCAAAGAACAGAAACTCAGCCAAGTAGTCCATTACTGTTCAAGAAGTAAAGTGATATATAGCAAGAATAGACTCATATTAATATAGAAGCAAAGAAATAATTTTCCAGATAAGAGATTCATGAAACTGGCATCACCTATAATTAATTCGCTAACGGGGGCGCTTGGACTATAAAGCGGCGTCAATCACCTACTACTGTGGCGGCGCACTTACTTCTCTAAAACGAGAGAATGATGCTATCCTAATGTGGATGTTCCGAGTAAAAGAGCTATTCAGTTACTTCCGCCTTTACGCAGTTCGATGATATGCCAGTCCGTTCTCTCGCGTAGCTTTCCAACACCCTATTGAAATGCCGCTTTGGGCAGCCTAGGTTGGTAACGAGACCGAGATCCATGCTCTTTCTTACGGAAGTAGAATAAGGACGCTTGTCCTATGCCAGCCCATGCTTTTTGTTTATCAGGCAGTCCCACGCTTGACAAAACAAAAGATCTTGACAAACAAAGCCAGGCCCCAGATATTCGTCCATCAGTAACCCGTTACAACATGGAGATGAAGTTCGTCAATATTGCTTTCGCTGCAATTTTTCTGCGCGGCATCGCCGTTGCTGGTCCCGGGGCTTATGCTATATGCCAAGCGGTCTGTGCGTCTCGCTGGAGGCCCTGATGGTGTCGCACTCTATGCGGCCTGTCAATCAGCTTGTGCTATGCCGTGCCCCTAGGTAGTAATTATTGAATGGCGCCCAACCGGTAAGTCCTATTGGACTTGGTGTCGCAATGTTTATGCTAAATGGATTCACAGAAAGTAGTTCATAATAACAGTGTGTAACACCTTAGTAGAGGCTAAGTTGATATAAGAAGAATATATGTCATATATTTTCGTTGCAGTCAGGTGGTGATGAATCTTTACTGTGCCCTACGACCCCTATGACATAAACTAGAAGCGGAACCGCTGGAGATGATAGCGAGAGGGAACTGCTCGGCAGAGTGTTGGAAGAATTAAAGGATCTTAAGGAAGAGTCTATCCAGCAACAGGAACTAATCTGCAAATTGGAACGCGAAATAGTGAACACGAAGGAACAGCTGTGTCACCACACCTGCTTCAGCTGTTCCTTCGTGTTCACTATTTCGCGTTCCAATTTGCAGATTCGGATTACGTATTCTGTTTAAATTTTGCTAAGGGATCTCCAAATCCGGATCGGCGTATGCGGAAGACGCTGGAATACTAGCCTAGTAAATCCAGTTCCCCAGATCTACAGGCATTTCGATTTGTGTACGGCAATATCACGTTGTTGAAATTGCGATCACACCTTGTGTTCTGATTGAGTCGACGAACATAACTACCGTTTCTACATGCGTATACCTGATTAGGTATAGTCAGATTAACCCCTTTATCGTGCAAGGACAAAAAGTGTGCAGTCCAGGGGATGTTCTGAGGCGCACGGACGAAAAGCGAGTAATTCAGCGGATTACAGCGTCCACTTGGTACAGTAGGCGTAACCTCGTCACTGACAAACAGGGTTATATCAATATATGCCGAATTGTGTTTTTTTTTTCTCTTATTTGCAATAGACAATCCTCAAAAGTGCTGCGGATTTTTGCCGTTCTTATCTGTTGACATAGTATAGCCGACGGAGCAGACTCGACGGTGTAGGGCGAGATTGTTGAGATCTGGCTCGCAATCATCTGATTGGCTAGTATACCTATCTTTGGCGGTAAATTGAATCAGTTAGGACGTAGAAAATAACAGCAACAAGGAATGTAACCATATTGACAAAATATTAGTGAGCACTGAATAGAGTAACTTATATAAGAGACAAAAGTATACAGTATGCTACTTTACAATTTTTGGGCTTAAGGCGGTACATGTCCATTGGCAGGGTCCACTGGCAGGGACGGGACCCCTGTCCGCCTCTTAGGCGCCGTCAATACTGAAAGTATTGCATGCACCACCATTATAGCGCTTTGTGGCTAGCCTCGTGAGGCTTAACAGCTCCGGAGTGCTGGCATGGAGTTCTTTCAGGTTAAATAGAAACATATCACCCAGGAACGTGACGTCACACGCCAAATCATGAAGGGATATTCATAAGTGGCATGGCGCCGTCACGTGCATCAATACAGCGCCAAGCCTGCCAATTTCTTCTCAGCGGTAAGAAATTTGCCTCAATGGACTGGGGATGTATTCGGATCCACCCAATTACTGATGTTTCGAATCGGGACAATGCAGTGCCTCAAAGGGATCTCTGCTTTGAATGCCCGTTAGTGTTCGTTCCAATGCAAAGGCTGTGTCGGTATTCTCTAATCATTTTCGGGGCAGGCCGGGATTCTCAACTACTTACTCGAGCATCTGTGTCATTTGAGCGCGAAGCAATAGTGCGGGGCTATACCTCGCTTGCACGGTTTTCGACTACTGTGGGATTGATGAAGTCTCGTAAGCGCAAGCCTAAATTTAGTCGAAATCTGATCGAAACCAATAAAGACATACCATGCGATACAGACGGAGGAGATCCTTGGCGCCCAGATGATGAACTGAGCGAGGAGCAACGTTTTATATTCGATCTAGTGCTCAGACAAGAAAAAAGCATCTTTTTCACCGGCCCAGCAGGCACAGGCAAGTCGGTTCTGTTGGGGAAGATTGTCAAAAGCCTGACACAAAAGTACCTGGAGGATAGGGACTGTGTGGCGGTTACCGCATCTACAGGGCTTGCAGCATCGAATATCAATGGCACAACGCTTCACCGCTTTGCAGGTATTGGTATTGGAAAAGCACCTACCACCAAGCTCGTCAACGAAATTATGACGAATAGGCTCAAATGGCGACGTTGGCTCAAAGTTAGAGTCCTTATTATAGATGAAGTCTCCATGATCGGGCCGACCTTATTTGATAAGCTCGACGTGATAGCACGCGCAGTGCGGGGAGTTGATATGCCTTTCGGGGGAATACAGCTCGTCGTCTCTGGCGACTTTTTCCAACTTCCACCTGTCGTGCAAGGATCCGATGACGGGTCATCAAAATTCTGTTTTGAAGCTAAGGCGTGGAAGTCTGCTATACCGAACACTGTAAACCTGACTAAGGTTTATAGACAAAAGGATCCTATCTTGGCAGGCATGCTCAATGAGATTCGGGAGGGCAATCTCTCAAAGAACACGATCGATACGTTTAAAAAGCTCAGCAGGCCTTTACAGTCGG